GGATTCATTATTTTGATATAGATTGCATTGGAACAAACACTAGCCTATAACATCTTAGTTGATTAGTTTATTGACAAAACATACTATATATTTAACATATGAGCAGAAACTGCTAACAAAAGCTTATTTGATGTTATTTTAGAGTTAAAACTTTATAATCTATTCAAAACTAGTCACACACACAGACACATGATTCAAATTTAAACAGTAGGCTATTTTTGCGTTTACAGACACTAACGTTATTATATATCGCGATTAGAACAAACCACAAGAATAAAACACTTACAGTTCAGCTCGCTCCTCGAAGTGAAAATAAACCAGCACTTGTTCTGAGGTAGGTAAATGTCCCAGGATTATTCCTCACAGGATTATTCCTCACCGTGCAAGACGACAGTACATTAATCTGACTAAATATAGTGGTTTACCGAGTTGATATGTGGGCGTTTACACGTCTCAATGTGTTGCTTCAGATCATTAGCGTTTGAATAGCGCGCGCTCTCCGTGGGCGTGTCACATTAGCGGAATAATGAAATGCGAGAACGATAATGAGAACGGCAGACACCTCTCTCTTTTTATATAGATTACATAAACGGAGAATATTTATTTCTAGTTTTAAATTAGATAATTTAAAAGTACAAACTTAAATGATCATATTAAACATATATCGCTCATGTCTGGGTGAATAGTATTAGCTGAGTTTTTTTTAAGTTCAGAGACGTGCTCCAGAAAAAAAGTTCACGGACGTGAAGCAGAACGCACACCCTGTTTATTTTCTTTATTTTACAAAAGCACAATATTTTATTTCGATTGTAGGTGGGCACATAAAAAAGTCGACATTTAACAGTTTATTTTTTAATATGTCTTAACTCTGTATGACCAGAAATGGAGTAGTTTAAGTCTATTTTTCTGCTATGTGAAAAAAATCTGCCAAAACGCACGGGTGCGTTTTTGGTCCCCAGAGGGTTAAGTTTTGTTTTGTAGAAAGCCTTTCTTTAAAGTGAATTTCGTTTTGTACAAATTGTATCTTAATTTTAATCAATGTTTCATCAACAAATTGCCTGGATTAATAGGAATAAGAAGCAAATATAGTAGACAATATAATTAGGACATGGAGGCGCCGGCGCGTGAACTGGAGCGCCTCTCATACCGAAAACTGACAGAAAACAATAGTTTATTAATAAACAATTCAAATGTTTAATGCATAATCCTTACTTTGGACGGTTCTTTGTGGCAAAGTTTTAGCTACTTTACAAGATTAGCATACTCTCCTTCAGACTCTGTTCTTTAAGATTGGGTGCACACAAAACCTTTTCTGTCTTTTAAAGAAAACGAAAAGCTCGTCTTCACTGGATGATGATGATGAAGTGGCCGTGTTTTCTCAGCTGTCGGCGCGAAAGTTTTGGAATGTTGAAGCTCTGAACGTTGCAAATTCGCGTCGCGGCTGATGTGAATGGTTTTGACGCGAACTATTCGCACGCGAACTATTCGCTTTTCCGTTTCGCTTTTTCGTTACGCGTCCGGTGTGAAAGGGCCTTTAGCCTTGCACAATCCACACACCGCTGTCTAAGGGTAGGGACACACCAAACCGACGCTTAAGAACTAGTGCTGATGAAAGCCAACTGTGTTGTTGCCTCGCGTCAGGGCAAAAAAGCTGCACTTGAACACACCGAGAGAACTAGTCGATTGTCAACTAGCATAAGTGTTCTGCGACTGCATGTAAATGAGACAACGGTCTATTTCTGCTGATATATTCGTCATTCAAAAAGGGAAACCAATGCAGCAGACTGCAGATACACACACCGTAAACAAAGTAGCGTGTGCTTGAATATATCAATCCTGCTGATCACTTTATTCCACTTAGCTCCTGTTAATATTAAAATATTCGCCAAGGAACACTCAGGTAAGATGGCGTAAAATTAACAGCCTTCTATCTGTAGAGTTTTGACTTTTTTGCTTGCTGTTTTGCTATTATTCTCGTGCACTTATTCACTAAGCTGAACAGCCGATCACAGTTCTCTCTCTAACCGACAGCCCGAAGCCGATTCAACATGCTAAATCGACGGCGGCGTCTGACTAGAGCCAACGGTGCAGAACACACAGAAAAAACGAAGTCGGCCGACGCTCAATCGTTGGCTTGGTGTGTTCCGGGTTTAAGAAAACCTGCTACCACTAGATGGCAGTAGCCTGCTAAAACAGACAACTGCACCGTAATCTAGCATTCTTCCCCACACAAGATGCTTAATGTGGCTTAAGAAAGTGATATTGAAGCACCAAATTTAGTACACAACTTAGTAAAACTTAGCTTACCTTGTACAGACAAGCAGAAAAATATGTACTCAAAACCGATATGAAAATTTTGGCCGATACCGATAATTCTTTACATTTCAAAGCCGATAACCGATATATTGGCCGATAAATCTAAATTCAATTTTGATATACTTTGATAGCCATGTCCCAAACACTTCAACATAAATCAAACATATACAATATAGTAGGCTAGTTTGAACCAGTGTAAGACTCCATAACCTTTCAAATTAATTTTACACTGCTATGGCCAACTTTCTTTATTAAAAAATGGTAACATTTTATAATAAGGCTTCATTTTGTTAGCATTAGTTAACATCAACTAAGAATGCTGTAGAAGTATTGTTCATTAATTGTTGGTTCATGTTAAGCTCAACATTTTATCAGACATTTTTGATATCCAAAGTTGTATCTGTTAACATTAGTTAATGCACTGTGAACTAACATGAACAAATATTTTATTAACGAACTAACAGAGAGCAATAGCCTTTATTAATGTTAATGTTAGTTAATGCACTTATTGTAAAGTGTTAACAAAAAATCTATTGCCTAACAAAAAAGTTAAAGGGACACTATGCAGGAATTCCGTTTGTGTCAAACAGCGACTCCTAGAGTCGCTGTGGAGTACTTGTATTTAACATTACTGTCGTAAATACCACTCACGCAGAGCGTGACGTGTTACATAGTATACAATAGTACATTGTGTTTAATTTGTCGTTTAAGGGGATCTAATATATGTTGTTAGTGGTGAGAATTTTCACGTGATTAAATGCATAGATCCGACTATTATCCCCATGTACTTTAATGGTCCAGTGGCAGAACTTTTGCCAAGCGTGTCAGAGGTTCTGGGTTCTATCGCACTAAGTAGTATAGTTTTTTTTCCTCATCAAAACCGATTGTTTACTAGTGGTTGTATATCAAGCAGGGACACGTTTTTTTGTGCATAAGGTTTTGTGCTTTCACCGTAACAAATATAGAGAGTCTCTCCGCAACGGATTGAAGCGCACATGCGTGTGAAGACTGTGCGCGTCAAAACAGAACACTAGCCGCGTTTCCACTGCAGGGCCAGGGCCGAGCCGTGCTAGTGCGTGCCAGAGCCAGTCGCGTTTCCACTGTCACTTCCGGGGCTTGATCGGGGCTTACTCGGGGCCAACGGCAAGGATTTCTGGCATGTCGAATATCTTGGGCCAAAGCGGGCCAGCTCGGGCTAGAGGCGTGGTCAAGGTAAAAGGCGGAGTTTATCTGTGTTATGGAACGTTATGATCTGAAGCATGATGCACATTTCACTTTTTTATATCGCGCAAAATAATCGCTGCTCGAAATGGTGAATCGCCTGTACTGGTCTGTCGAAGATACCAAAGCTCTTCTGAGCATTTGGGCAGAAGAAAGGGTATAACGTCAATTTGACGGCGTGTGAAAAAACGAAGACATTATAAAATACATCGATGCTGAACTTTCTAAGCTAAGCATTCAGCGAGCAACGCTTCAAGTTCAGGATAAAAAAAAAGTTGCGGGCGCAGTATTGTACAAGGCGATTCAAACGCAAAATGGACAAAGCGGAGCTCAGAGAAGGAACTTTCCAAATTCCATGGTTCGACTTGATGGACGGTGTGCTGGGTCACCGTCCCTCTGTTAGTGGCGACTCGCGAGACAATCTGGACACTATTGCAGGCTGCAGCCACGGCCGGTGAGTTAATATACATGCTATCTTCCTAACTTAAAAAATAAATAAATTCATAATACCCGCTGAAATGGGTTGGGTTGTATGACGTTTGATCCAGAAAGGCGTGTTAGGGGCGGGGTTTAGGGCAGCGCTGCGGGGCTACTGGCCCGGCAGTGGAAACGCAAGCCCGGTGCTTGAGGCCCGAGGCCACTGGCTCGGCTCGCTGTTAGCCCTGGCCTGGAAGTGGAAACGCGGCTACTGTCTCCGCCCCACTGATTATTTTGCTACATATATAGGCTCGTTTTCAGCACCGGGAAACGGACGTCTGGTCACCCTTTGTGTGTGTGTGAATGAGTTAAAAAAACGTAGTTACGGTACACACTATAGCTAACAATAGCTATCTTTATGTAAGGCCGTAACCAGGGTTTGAAATTATTAGTGAGGTCCGGGGTGAGGTGTAAAGAATTGTGCTGTAATAGCATCAACTAGACTACTAGAAACACTGCTTTAATGTTTTTATGATGACTTTGTGCAGCATGAGCAGTCTTCCTGCTGGCCAGTAGCCTATTTAGCATATTTCATTCTGTAACATACAGATCTGTATTATGCTATTGTTTTTGATAGTGTTATACATTTCTTACAGATAATTATGATGATCATTGCGTTTGTCTTACCGAATGTGGTATCTACCTGTCAGCAAATACAGTTTGTCTATAAGCTTTTTTTATTTATTAATGCCGATTGCCGACAGTAAAATTTTGCCAGATATTGGGACGAAAAACAAGCAAAAACAAACAAGAATTTTTTTTATAAAAATCCAAAATAAGTTCAAAGCTTGTGTTTTGGAAATAAGATTAATATATCACAAACCCTAACATGCAACTTGCCACTTTAATAACTTCCTAAAGTGTGACATTAAATCAGAAAAACAAGTCCAGAAGACTACTGCCACCTCTCCATTAGGTTGATCTGGCAACACGGGATCGCACCCGCACCTAGGGCTGAACGATTATGGAAAATAATCTAATTGCGATTTTTTTAACCAATATTGCGATTTAATATGCGATTACTTTAAGTTCTTTACCTTCTGTATTAGTCGACAAAGACAAGCAATAAATCATTGTACAGTAGGGATGGGAATCTTTAGGCAGCTCATGATCCGATCTACTTTTTTTCTTATTAATCTTAATAACACTTAAAATATGCATTTAATTACATGTGTAAAAATACATACTTTAAAAATATATATATATAAGAAAACATTTAATTAAACCAATTACATGTTAAGAATTTTAAATAGGCTATATAAACTAATATAGCTTCAAAATATAAAAGCTAGTAAATAAAGACGAACAAAAAAAAGCATTACAAGCAATAAACAGAGTGCTTTCAGTATTTAAAAGAAGGCTGTCTGAATGTTTTTCATTTAAGAGCTGGAGTGATTTTCCCCCCTCAGTTTAGATACGATAAGCTGCATTCACACTAATGCACATATCTCTTTTGAAATTGTAAATGTGGTTTGTCCTGTTGGTTTAAGATATAACCGTTTACATTAATTTCGCGTCATAAAAGCATTTTGAGATGCAAGTACATTTAACCAATGAGTCGCTCACAGCCGCATGCACGAGCGCTCTTCACAAAGCGAGCGCAAGTATTTTAAAATGAAAGCAGCCTTCTCAGGGATTTTCATATTTTTAATATATAAGCCAACTGCATTCCAAAAGACATAAATAATGCCATCGTGGAGGATTTGTAAGGAAAATTCCGGCGGCCAAGACCACGCACTGCAAGAGTAACGTTATAACATCAAGCAAAGCGGCAAAACCTGTGCAATGAAGCGCGCGAATGTCCTTGTAATTCGGTTAAACCCCGAACTTTATGAAATATTCTTTTTGGGAAGGTTCGAGCGGTGTCGTGTGTGTGTGTGTGTGTGTGTGTGTGTGTGTGTGAGTGAGTGAGTGAGTGAGTGAGTGAGTGAGTGAGTGAGTGAGTGAGTGAGTGAGTGAGTGAGTGAGTGAGTGAGTGAGTGAGTGAGTGAGTGAGTGAGTGAGTGAGTGAGTGAGTGAGTGAGTGAGTGAGTGAGTGAGTGAGTGAGTGAGTGAGAGAGAGAGAGAGAGAGAGATAGAGAGATAGAGAGAGAGAGAGAGAGAGAGAGAGAGAGAGAGAGAGAGAGAGAGAGAGAGAGAGAGAGAGAGAGAGAAATTAGAAGCAAGCAGAATACGGTTGTTTCTAAAGCACGTTATCACGCATCTGTGTTTAAAAACTAAGCTCAGACTCGATTCTGAAATTCTCTGAATCGATCCAGAATTGTTGGAGAGAGAATAAATAACACAATATCACATACATTAAAGGGGTCATATAATGGTACATGCACTTTTACAAGTTGATTGTACTGAAATGTGTGTTGGCAGTGCCTGTACACAACCATCATATAATGATAAAAATCCATCCAGTGTTTTTGTTTTAATCTCCTTATATGTTTTCCCCTGCCTCAAATTGAGCCGTTCGTTTTTGTGACGTCAATAAAACGGACGCCCCTCCCGCAAATGTTGAATGACAGCAGTGATTCAACACAGACCCGCCCTCGCTCGTCCTGTCAATCATAGTCCACGCGGATCGGCGCGGTCATTGTTGATATGCTGGAGCACTGTCTATGAGCAGAATGGCATCTAAGCGATTGTGGTGTTCTGTTCTTGGGTGCAATAACGAACACAGCAGTCATTTTAATGTTCCTAAATCCGAACCGCTGAAGACGCAGTGGCTGTGTTTGTTTTCGAAGGGAATATTCCCCACGAGCAACGTCAATGCTCTCATGTTTGCCGAATCATTTCTCAGTGGACTGCTTTATAAACGAGGATCAGTCTAAAGCTGGTTTTGCTGAGAAGCTGCACCTGAATAAAGGATCGGAACCTATTCGTGTTCCTGCTGAACCTTCAGAAGAACTAAAGTGAGTGTAAGGTTTTATTAATCTTTATATTAATATTTATATTAATCTTTGCAAATCGCCAGCTGCACCCTTCACGATGAATGCGTCGGTTTACACTCACGGTACATTACAGCATGTTTTCTATGTACAACGTTCTCAATATAATTCATAATCCCACGTTTATAATGAAAAACGCGTTATGGTTATTGTGTTATTGTGTTACAAACGGTGTATGCGCAGAACAGAGAGGCGGGGTGAGCAAAGCTCATTATCATTTAAAGTCATATGCACTGAAACGGCGTGCTGAAAACAGAGCTGTTTTTGACCAGGTAAAATAAGTGTTTTCTTACAATACTAATGAGAATTTTTAATTAAAGTATATTACAAACTTTTAATTTAGACCCTAAAGAATCATATTAGCTTGTACAAAAATGGCATTATATGACCCCTTTAAAAATAAACTGTTCTTTCCTGTATGCCAGACCTATATGCGTAGCGTGCCAAGTTGATGCTTGATCTTGCAGACTGCTTTTCTCTCGCGTGTCACGTGACCAGTGTAATCGCAGCTTTTGCGGTTACAAAATCGCGTTTCATCATATCGCGATATTATCGCAAATGCAATTAATCGTTCAGCCCTACCCGCGCCCTCACTCACAACGCGCTCTCAAAGCCCCGTTCACTGCGCTAGCTTCTCGCAGCTAAATGAATTGCAAACACTCATATGAGATGGTTTAAACGGCTAATTATTCGTTCAGAGAGCTTCACATTTTATTTTTGAATGTAAAAAAAATGACCGAGGTCCGGACCTCGGTGACCTCATAGCTGGCTACGGCCATCACATGTTAACTGTAGCTCTTGGGTGATCCGCTGAAAAATCACCTCGGACGACCCTGTCGGGTACACACTGCATGACACATCATGCAGTGCTCGCTGTTCCTGCCAGAGTTCAGCGAGTTTATCTTCCTTTTCAATAGTTCAAATTCGTCGTGGCGCTGCCATTTTCGTCTTTCTTCCTCTGTGGATTTCCGCAGCTCCTGATTGGTCAAATTCAGATAGATCGACAAATCAGCTTATTCAACCACACACACACCTCACGAATTCAAGCCGACAGCTTCCGAACTTTTTCGACATGCTTAAATTATCGGGAGGTCGAGAGGTGCTCGGCTCGGCTCTTCCTCGCACACGATACGTGCCCGACATTCCGATTTCCACACGATTTCTCCCGAGTGAAAAAAATCATCTGCGAGCTCGTAAAACAGCAAAAAATCGCCCGCCTTTAGGCTTACTGTTTCAAATTACATCATTGCTGTTTGAGCTGCACACGCTGAAGCTGAAGAGAACAAATGTTAAACTGAATCGCTTTGCTAGAAGGTTAATCAACTCAATGGTTGCTGAAGAATGCAACTAAACGAAAGAATTTACAACTTTTTACTACAATAGTGTATAAAATTATAATAATGACAGTCCCAATCATAGCTTTTAATTTTTTGCATTGCTGTTTGAGCGCGCACGCTGAAGCTGAAGAGAACGAGCACCGGGAAACTGAAGAACTTTTCTAGCAGGTTGTTTAAATCAACGAAACGCATCCTATGTGAGATTAATTAGATATGTATATTACATAAACTTAATATTACGACTTCTATCTCCACAAAATGACGTGAATGCACAAGCGAACTTGACTGTGCTGGTCAGAATGTGTAATCCCTTTTCTGGACGGCCTATTTCCACAACAACGCGCTGAAACATGGCAACTAAACTCAGGGAATTCACAAAGTTTTATTACAATAGTGTTCTCATATAATGGCATGTATATGACAGTCCCAATTATAGTAATAAATGTGCATTGCTGTTTGAGCTGCGCACGCTGAAGATGGTCACGGGTACAATTAAGCGCTTTTTTGCATCGTTCATTAACTCAACCAAACGCATCCTAGATTAGATTAATCAGTACACACAAAATAAATAGAGATGCACCGATTGATCGGCTGGTGACCAGAATCGGCCGATTTTCACGTGATCGGCCATGACCGGCGACCGGCCGGTCAGTCTGACATAATCCGATTTTATGACGGTCAAATGCACTCTGGCGCCGCATGATTAACATCGCGCAACATCCGCATCACACGTGCACACGGAACGCACGGCCGTTTCACACCGCAAGCGTGAGCAGCGCGGTTTTTTCTTCGACGTGCATGTTAATCAATGAGCGCATTCACACCGGGAGCAGGAGCAGCGCGTGAGCGTGGAGCTGGAGAGTCGCGTGAGCAGCAGTGAAGCACGGGTTTCGGCGCCGAGTCTATTTTTGCTGCACTCTATTTAAGTGAAAGCACACTTTTGATGGACAAAATAAATATTGTTTTAACAAGAACTGAAGTAGCCTAGGCTATGTCAGAAAAGAAAATTAAGACTCAAAAATATTTATAGAAAATGTACCTATTTAAACTTGTTTTTATTATTTCCCAATCGTTTCCCTGCACTTGCTCCACTTGTCCTGTTTAGCCTGGCTGGACATGTGTCAAATGAGAAAAGAACTGTTTGAGAAATATAACTTGCCATTGATGTACAAGTGATTGCAATAGGCCTGTGTGTGTGTGTGTGTGTGTGTGTGTGTGTGTGTGTGTGTGTGTGTGTGTGTGTGTGTGTGTGTGTGTGTGTGTGTGTGTGTGTGTGTGTGTGTGTGTGTGTGTGTGTGTGTGTGTGTGTGTGTGTGTGTTGAGAAATATCTTATACTGCAAGGGTATATTTATTTTATTTTTATTTGTTATTTATATATTATTTTATTGCCATTACCTGTTTTCATACAGAAGTTTAGTTTGCTAAATATATATTTAAAAAAAATTGTTGGATATTGGATGTGAAAAGAAAGAAATGGTTCTTCCATAACACTGCACTTTAGATGTGTGTGAATTTCCCACACCAGGAGTAATTTATATAGTCTAGTTCTATTTTATAGCGATTATCTCTTTAAAAAATGTTCTATGCAAAATGTTCTATTAAAGAGAAGGTAGAAAATAAATATTTGTGTGTGCTGTAAAGTGGTTTAAAAAAGGAAATCGGAATCGGCTAAAATCGGTATCGGCAGGTCAAACTCAAGAAAAATCGGAAATCGGAATCGGCCTAGAAAATTGTAATCGGTGCATCTCTAAAAATAAACATACTACAACTTACAATGACACAAAATGCTGCGAATGCTCAAGCGAACTTGACTGTGCTCGTCATGAAGGCTCGACTAAGTAGACGCGCTCTTTCCGCCACAACGTGCTCGTTACGCTGAAACACTAGCGAACAAGAATTCACAACATTCTTTTACAGGCGTGTTCTTATTATAATGTTATGAAGCCTGTGTGACAGATTTGTGCTGTACATGTTGCACTGTACATGTTGCACTTAACTATGTTCCTTTTCCATTTTTGTCCCATAGAAAACCATTCTAAAAAAGCTTAACGTTAGGGGTGGAACGGATCGCAGTTGATCCGTGATCCGTATGGATCAGCCCCACAGTTCGGAACGCATGTGATTCGTGGATTAACTGCTAATTTTAATCATCATAGTGTGAAAGTTTAGAATTTGGACGCATTTTGTCTTGCCAATTTACACATTCAAACAATTTTAAACGCAGAAGATGTGAAAATCGGGACTCGCTAGTTATCTGTGCGCACAGCTCAGAGAAAGAGAGAGAGAGAGAGAGAGAACCAAATGTATTCCTCTTTCGTGTTTCCTTGCCCTTGAACGGACACAAACAAAAAATTAGGGCTGCAACTAACAATTATTTTAATAATAGATTAATCTGTCGATTATTTTTCCGATTAAATCGATGAATCAGATTTAAAAAAAACAAAAGCATTAATTTCCAATCCTTTATTAAAAAACAGAACTGACAGTGCACATTCACCGCGAAAAAAAATGGACTTACAAAAAACATACACATGTATGCTTTACATCTGCCAAATAATATATATAGGCTTTTTAAAAATAAAGTGAGCTGCTGTCAGAACAATAAATAATTGATAAAAAATAAAGAAAAATACAAATCAGAAAACTTAACAGGATTTGTTTGAACGTCAGAACTTGTTCTCTACACCACACTAACACACACTCACAAACTCTCACACTCACAGATGCACACACTCACAAACTTGTGTTTTGTTTTTGTCAAAGATGTTATAATCTTTAACAAAATGTTTGACATTTTTTTAACAAGCAAATGCACCTATTATCATATTACCTATAATAGGTAGTAATAATAATAGCAATAATAATTATAAGAGAAGATAATATCTCTAGTCTATCCTAATATTAATTATAAATACAATGTATATAAAATATAAATACAATATTAAATAATATAAAAAAAAACAAATACAATGGATTGACCATCTCCTATGGTGTGTAAGGTATTTTGCAGCTCATCCTTTCTG